GGTCCTGTCGTAGCTCCTGTCGTAGCTCCTGTCGTAGCTCCTGTCGTAGCTCCTGTCGTAGCTCCTGTCGTAGCTCCTGTCGTAGCTCCTGTCGTAGCTCCTGTCGTAGCTCCTGTCGTAGCTCCTGTCGTAGCTCCTGTCGTAGCTCCTGTCGTAGCTCCTGTCGTAGCTCCTGTCGTAGCTCCTGTCGTAGCTCCTGTCGTAGCTCCTGTCGTAGCTCCTGTCGTAGCTCCTGTCGTAGCTCCTGTCGTAGCTCCTGTCGTAGCTCCTGTCGTAGCTCCTGTCGTAGCTCCTGTCGTAGCTCCTGTCGTAGCTCCTGTCGTAGGTCCTGTCGTAGGTCCTGTTTGTCTTCATGTGACTTTTCCCTCCTGTGGTTCAGAACCAGAAGCCTACCTCAGAGGAGATCCTACTGATTGCAGAGCAGCTTAACATGGAGAAGGAAGTCATTCGGGTCTGGTTCTGCAACCGTCGGCAGAAAGAGAAGCGGATCAACCCGAGCAGCGCCACACCCCCCCTGACCAGCCAGCCCCCGACTGCCCAACCAGCGCACAAACCTCCCTGCTACAGCCCTCACATGGTAAATATACAGTTTATCACCTGGTGACGCTGAGGACCAGGTGTGACGATCAGGTGTCTTCACGGTGTGTCCTCACCACTGTCTGTCCCCCTCTCTGACAGATGTCCAACCAGCTGTCCCAGGCAGTAACCAGTCTCAGCAGCACAACAGTGACTACCTTGTCCTCCATCTGTCCCCCGACTTCCAGCCTCTCCTCTACTCACCCCTCCATCAGCTCTACTCACCCCTCCATCAGCTCCACGCCTTCACCGGTGACCCCTCCTCCCCGGAGCACGGCCAGTCCAGCCACTCCCAGCCACAGCGCCCTCAACCTCAACACAGGGTGAGACGATGAGGAGACACCATCACACCCTCCTCCCCCCTCCTCCCCCGATCCCGTTCAGAGAAACCTAGAGATAGTTTGAGTATTTCATCTGATAAACTCTTGTTCAGAGATTTAAAAGGCTAACCACAGTTAGCATCATCCAGCCCACTGACAGGACAGGCTCTGGGTGTTAGCAGCGTTAGCATCGTAGCAGCGTTAGCTTGACTTAGCCTCAGTGAGTTTCTGTCAGAACAGCACCTTAATGATCTAGGACTACACTGACAACATGCTGTAGAAATGCTAGCATTGCACTGAACAGTGGAAAAAGTTGTGACTAAGTTCACCATCTACAGGCCAGGAGAGGGAACTACATGCTGGCAACTGTAACTCAATGATGGTAGAGTTAATTAAATGTTAGTTTAACAAATAATTGATGATGTTTTTGGTTAATTGTTATTTTCTTCTTATTCCAAAAGGAAACATTTACATATAATTATTTTATTTGCCAACAAAAACGAAAATATTTTTCGCACCTGCTCCTCGTTGGCAGCAGTGTATTATAACTTGTGTGTGTGTGCGTGTGTGTGTGTGTGTGTGTGTTCACAGATTATGGCGCATGGGAAAAAAGAACGGTGACATGTCCAACTACATCACTGATTTTGCTACAAATTTGAGGTGAGTTCGACCCTCATGCAGTGAACACACACACACACACACACACACACGTCCTGACAGTTGTGTTGTTTCCTTCTTTTCTTTTATTCTGTTTCTTAAAAATGTTTCGGTCAGTTGTGGTCTGCTGCTGCTGCTGCTGCTGCTGCTGCTGTTCTTCAGCTGAATTTGTATTTTCTGACAAATGTTTGTCTGTTTTCTGACTTTTTCTTCTTTACTCTCTGTGTATGTGTAAATGCTTGCATATGTGTGGTGCTGCGGCCTGTGTGTGTGTGTGTGTGTGTGTGTGTGTGTGACACAACAGGAACACTGTGATGGGAGTTAACACAGGGATGAGCCAAGCCCTCCTCGGTAACAATCCCCTGGCCACAATCCAAGGTGTGTGAGACGTAATGGGTTAAAAATGACCAAGAACCAGAACAGTATACAGTACACACCACTGCTGTTCTTTAGAAATATATATATATATATGTATACATATATATACACATACAGTATATGTATACATATATATGTATTTATATGTATGTACCAACAACGACCAGATCCTATATATGCTATAGTAGTAGTACTGGGGCAAAGATGTGTATTTGAAAGTAATATATGCAGTAATATATGGCAGGTGAACAGACAGCTGTAGACCGGCCTCATACACTCATACACTCCCATCATTATCTATGAATCCATCCCATCATTGTGTGTGTGTGTGTGTGTGTGTGTGTGATCATCTCAGCCTTCTCTTCAGATCTTTCTCTGCTCATCTACCATTTTGTTTTTCACCTGGGGGGGGGGGGGGGGGGGGGGGTCACGCTGGGTTACACCGATGTTAGTTATTGTTAGTTAAATTTACACGATGAATTCACTCATCTTTCAGGTTTTTTTTCCGTCCGTTTAAGGTCAACATTCATTCATAGATTCAGAACTTTAAATCTGAAACATGGGATTTTATCCTAAAGTCAAATTTTAAATAAAGTGTTTAACGTATATGAGCGACTCCTCCAGCTGTTGCTATGGAACCACTGATGTGTTTCACTGTGACACTGGACTACAGGAGACACAGAGTCATTAACCCTCTGTCTCCATGACAACGCAGCTGTTGTCTAATTCAGTCAGGTACTGGTAATGAAACAGTGCCACATCATCTGTGGTGACTGAGAGCTGACATGTGGTCGACTGTGGTGGCGTTGACAAACAGGTGTGAACAACAGTCGGGGTGACTCCACATCACGGCTCTGCTCTGTTTAACACCAAGCCTTCTACAGCCTTGGTTCTCAAAGTGAGGGGCGTGCAGCTCATACAGGGCAAAGGACAAATATGAAATCTGGATCATAGCCAACCTGGGGGGTGGGGAGGTCAGGGGGGTCAGTCTCCAAAACCTAACCATGGTTCAAAAAGATCTGTTGACCAGGGTTCAGGGTTGAACTGTGAATGTGTGGTTGGGCCAAGGGGGGGTTGGGGTGCTGATGTAAAGATCTTTGGGAACCTCTGCTGTTGGAGAACTTATACGTTTAAAATGAAAATATATATAATATGTTTGAAACATATATTTTATATATATATATATAGTTTGTATTTGATCTGCTGTATTGTGTTTTATTAGTAAAATCTTCAGATTCTAACCTCCTCATTAACCCCCCCCGTCCCCCCCTCTCTCTCTTTCTGACTCAGCCCTAGCAGCCAGTGGTGGTCAGTTGCCTCTTTCCAGTCTTGAAGGGGCCAGTAAACTGATGATGGGGGCCTCGGGGGCCCATGGCGGGGGCCTCCCCTCCTCCTTCTTCCTCAACCACCCTGCTCTTCTCCACCTGAGTCAGAACTCCAGCGCTGGACTGGTCAGCGCCGCAGTAGCCAAAGCCTCCCACCCCTCCCCCTTCCCCTCGGCCAGTAGCATCAGCCCCACCCCCTGTGCTCCTCCAGCGAAATGGCGCACAGCCCGCCGTCTCTGGGCGGATCCAAGATTGAGTGACCACAGCAAGAGCCAATCAGAGAGGGAGAGGAAGGACGAGGGAGGGGGGGACTTCACACCAAAGCTTTCTCTTTCTCTCTTAAACTCTGCTGTTTCTCTCTCCCTCTCCCCCTCTCTCTCCCTCTCTCCCCCTCTCTCCCTCTCTGTCTCTTATTTCTCCAACTCTTTCAATGCCAAAAATACAAAGAATAAAAAGGAGGAGGAGAACGACAGAACTGGACAAGAGAGACGGCAGAGAAAGAAAATGTTGAAACCAAAAATCTTCATCCATCGCAGCAGATGGAGGCAAGGCAACATGGGACCCTTTAGACAATTGCCCCCCCACTCCCTGTGTCATCTTTTGGGTGTTTCTTCCCTCTTCCTCTCAGAAGAAAAACAAAGCAATGACTCTTCAGCAAAGAGAGAGAGAGAGAGAGAGAGAGACACCCGTCCAAGTGCATAAAACCAAAAATGACTTTCTGATAAAGGATGGTGCCGGGGGTGCAGCAGACGGGGGGGAGGGGCACCTGCCCGTTTACGTTCCTATTATTTCTTTTTGAACAGACACTGTGGGTCTGAAGGAAGAAAAGGGCGGAAAAGTTTAAACCAAAAATTAACCTGAAGACGAGAAGAAGTCAACCAAACCAAAATCCCCAAAATACCAAAAAATACGGAGAGAAAAGCTTTATTCAAGGACTTGTAAATACTGCAGCTATCCAGGACCAGGACTCTACTGATACCAGTCCACATCCACTCATCTGTGTCTGTGTCTCCACTTGACTTTCAAAGTCCGTCCAATCATCAGGATCGCCAACGCCGCTGCGTGCTCTCGTCAGCGACCTCTGAGTCGAGCGTTCCTTCTACTCCTCTGGTTTTTTAACGTTGTTATTTATTAGTTTAATTTCTCCAGTCCAGCTCCTATTTATTGTTGTTGGGTTTTTAGTGTTCACCCTTCATCTTCATCATCATCATCAATATTGTCTGTCGCTGTCCTTCACGCCCGTGTCGTTGACAAACGTTTGTTTTTTCCAGTTGGTGAAACGTCGTTCACGTCAGTTCTCACCAAGTGCCAGTGAATCAAACACAGGGTTTGATGGAATTCTTCACAGACGTGAACATGTTTCTGTTTCTCAGTCCAACTCTTTTGTTTGTTTGTTTTTTTTTTCTTTTTCTAAATAGGCCGATATCAGTCAGCACACGGCTGCGAGAACACGCCCGCAAAATCTCACGTCCATTTATCAGGAGCGGAGACGACGCTGAGCCGCCATCGTCAATAAACCCAGTTTTAGTCACAGCCGCCTGCTGGATCGGCGTGGACCGGCCGTCACCCGTGTGTCTAGACGCCTTAACTGATCTTTCTGTTTCCATTTCACCACATTTCACCGTCATTTTCCACCTCACGCTGACATTAGCTCTCAAATGGAAACCAAAGCGTTCTCAAGGCTGCGCTCATCTGGAGGAGCCTCAGCCTCAGTCACAGAGACCACCAGGGGTTTCTGTGGAGACTGATACCAGGACGTTACCCCCAGAAGACCCCCCACCCTCACCCCCCCGTGGAAACCCCCTCCACCTGACCCACGGGGGAAGCTTTATGTAGAAAACTGATCCTTTACTCTCACAGACACCCTCCACACCCCCGCGCCCTAATCAAAGGGTACACACCGGGGCAGGAAGGGAGGGGGGGGGTCACACACTGTTGTGTCGGCAGCAGTTCGAGGGGAACACGTTTTTTTAAGAGGAAAACCAAAAATGAACCTAAACCAAAAACAAACCAAACCTAAGGAATGACCCGAGCAAACCAAAAAGAACCCTAACCACCTGTGGCTGGAGGGAGAGGGGGGAGGGAGGGGGCCGTGGAGGATCTGTCTCCCTCTCTGTCCGTCTGTGTGTCTGTCTGTTCGTTAGCTTTAGGGCTGCAGCGTTGGCCCAACCCTCAAACTGTAGCATGAATACAAAGATGTAAAAAAGACGGGCAGACGGACGGACGGGAGGGCAGCAGAAGGACCCCCACCCCTCTGCCCCCCACCCCCCCTCCTCAGCCTCACTCTGGCCCAGCTCTCTGGTCCTGGATGGAGCTAAACGCAAATGACCTCACTGAACTGAAAATCTTCTGAAATCCCTTTTGATTTTTATTCTTTTATCTCTGCTGTGTCTCTGTACTTTAGTGCTTACTACTCATTTGGGATAATGTACTCGCTTACTTACTTACTTACTTACTTACTTACGTACTTACTTACTAAAAGAGCTCCTTATTTTTTCTGTAGTCGTGCTAGAGATTTTTATCAGGTGGTTTAAAAAAAATACTGTGAAAATTTAGCTTCCAGATTTTTATTAGATAAACAGACAGACTGTCTCGTCAGAGAAATGACAACACACCAAAAAAGCCAAAAACAGAGGGTGGGAATGCAAACCTAAGAAATGCCAAAAACCAAATAGTGAACCAAACCAAACCGAACCGAACTGAACCAAACCAAACTCAGCAGAGAGGAGCGGGAGCTGCCGTCCCTGCACTCAGTCTGAGGCGTGGTCGATTCGTCCGAGGTGAAACTGCGTGTGTTTCTGTGTGGACGGGTCAACGGGTCGGTCGCTACGACCACGAAAAACCACAGAAAAATCCAGAACTGTACAGAGGTGCGAGAGCTGGACGATAACTGATCCAAAGAATCTTCGGTTTGGTCCACAGGAGCAGAACAACTTCAACCAAACTTTACACGTGGGCCGACTCGCCTGGAAGGTGACGCGCGTCTCCACGTCCACTCTTAGATGGAATGTATCTGTTAGTGCTTCTATAGATTTTGTAGAAAAAAGATCTATGTTCTACTGCTTACTTATCTCTAATGTATTATGAAGAAAAACTTACAAAAAAGACTGAGAAAAAAAAGATCCTAAAAAAAAAAACAATGATGAAAATAACTTGATATTAGACCAAAAATTTAACTATCTCTCTTTGGACTCATTTCTGTTGTTTATGTTTTTAGACTTTTGATTGTAATATTTATTTCACTAGTTTTTTGGGGTTTTTTTTGCTTATCTTTATCAGTCTGCCTATTTATTTCTCTAATTTATTTGGCCTCGTCTTTCACAATCTGTTTGTTTTTTTAAGTTTTTCTTTTGCCCCGCCTGACCTTCTTTTGCCCCCCCTGACCTTCTTTCTTACCTTGTTAAACCAAATAATGACAGAAAATGCAACCTCAGAGGACACAGGAGGAGAATACCGCCACCTAGAGCTTGGTGATGGAGATATTCTCCTTCTAATTGACTTGATTCTGCAGCTCAGTGGCGCCACAGTGTGGACAAAGACGTCAATTAACGAAGTGTTAAAACACGTCTCATTATGATGTGGTTTAGGTCAAGTTCGAAATTCCGTTTGAAGACGTCAGTGTGGTTGATGACGTCACTGTGCTGCACCTGGTCTTTACAGCAACAACCAAAACAAAAACATGAGAATGACAAAGATGAACTGGGGCAAAGGTTAAAGTTTAATTTTTTATATATGAATGCAGATGAAGAGGAGGAGGAGGAGCAGGAGGGGGCGCTTCTCTCTGTCCTCTCACCTGTCTGTGTTTATTTCTTCCTGTCTGTCCATCTGTGTGATCGTTTGCTTCGGCCTTTTTTCCTCCACTGTGGTGTGAGAAGAGAGATAGTTCATCATATACCTCATATTCTTTGATGATAAACCAAATAGATGAAGGCTTTAAAATGGGGGGGGGGCAACTGAGGGGGGTGCAGCTGTGTGTGTGTGTGTTCAGCGGAGACCAGGAGCAGGGGATTGTGGGAGGAAACACCAAAAGTTTAGGTTTGATCTGTGGAGGAGTTTTCTTTAATCCATTGTACTTTAAAGGTCTCTCTCACACACACACACACACACACACACATCCTGGTGTCAGCGTTGAGCTTTGAACCCTCTCCTCACCTCTGACCCCGGCTGTCTCTCCTCTTTGGTCTAGACCAGGGATCAGACCTGGAGGAAACTGAGCCCCCCCCCCAGGGGTTCTGAGGAGAGCTGCAGGGGCAGGTGACGGGGGGGGGGGCTAGGTGACACCTTTCAAAACTCAGTCTTGTTTTTTGTTATTGTTTTTTTTTTTTTTAAGGGGGGGTCAGAAGGAAAGCAAGACAAGGGCGGGGAGGGGGGGCGTCAAGTGCAGGTGGGTGTGGTGGGGCTACCTCCTTAGTGAATGATACCAAAGTTAATGCCCCGCCACAGGTGCCAGTAGAACTGATGCTGCCCCCCACAGGCCCTCATCTCCACTGCAGTGAAGAGAGTTTACTTCCTCCACAAGGTGGCAGTAGAAACAACAGACCACCTGACACCTGGAGGTCAGCTGCAGAGAAAGACCCTCTGTCCAATCAGTGTGGTGACCACCAGCAGCAGCAGCCAATCAGCTGGAGCCAATGTTCAGTCAGCAGCTCAACAGTCCCCCCCCCCCCCCCCCGAGCCTGTTTGTTCTCAGTGTATTTTCCCTCCAACGTTTTTATGCAAATGAGTTCTTTGTGGTTTATGGAAAACAAACAGTTTAACGAACGACGGCAGGAAGTTCTCTGATCCTGGAGCTACAGACAGGTGTGTGTGTGGACAGACAGGTGTGTGTGTGTGTGTGGACGGACAGGTGTGTGTGTGTGTGTGTGGACGGACAGGTGTGTGTGTGGACTTTGTCCCAGATCAGTCAGTGTTTTAATCCTGTATCAGTATTGGAGGTTGGATTTAGTTGTTTTAACTAAAAAGACTAAATTTTAAACATGTGAATCATGCACTGATAACAAACCACCTGATGATGGCGCTGCTGCTGCTGCTTTACTGTTAACCACACAGATGTACAGTTAGTCACGTCTGTAAAGTGAACAGTGATGGTAGCTGCTGAGAGGTGTCAAGTCGTTTCCTCCCTCCTTCCCCCC